TCTCCCCACCTCCCCCCCTCTCTCCCCACCTCTCCCCATCTCTCCCCACATCTCCCCATATCTCCCCACATCTCCCCGGCGCTCTCTTTCTTTTTCTTAGGCTCGACCTCGGCCTTCCAGCGCATCGCGCAGGCCTTCCAGACCGTCTCGGCCAATCTCTGCTCATCTCTGCTCATCTCGGCCAATCTCGGCCAATCTCGCGCGCAGGCCTTCCAGACCCTCTCGGACGCGGACAAGCGCAGCATGTACGACCAGGGTGTTGACGTCAAGTCGAGGCGCGGCGGGGGAGAGTCGGGCTCGGAGGACGACGAGGAGGAGCACCGCCAGTCGCTGCGCGAGGAGATCGAGCGCAGGTGCCGCGAGAGCGGTACGGCAGCTCCGCCCGCGGGTGCCTCTTTTTATGGTGGGACCTCTTTCGACTAGGTATTACCCCGAGCGATACGAGTTCTGGCCATTCGGCGACCCGTTCGTCCACAAGCGCAAGCGCGCCGAGAGGATGCGCCGCCAGCAGGGGCAGCGCGCGTGGTACGAGGAGGACTGATTGCGCGCCCATCTCCAGAGCGCACGTCAGGCGCACGGAGGCCGCGCGCCGCGTACGCACATTCCCGGTGCGGATGCTCTCCTCCGATAATGATAAAAAGCCAAAAACAGGCCTCGTAATCAAACGCCTCACGCGCCGTGTCGCGACTCGCGTGTCCACGAGTCGCACTAGTCGCCAGTCCGAGACACGGACAGTCGTCAGTCCGAGTCTGTGACTCGACACTCGTGTGTCGTGACTGTTGAACAGTGGTTAAAAACAGCAGTTGAAGTGTGGGGAGAAATGACCTTACCTTACTTACCGTGCCTTGTTACCTAGAGTAGACCCGCCGTGTGCTGCATGGCGAGGGCGAGAGCCCTCCGCCGCACGCACCCCTCGTAGAGGCTCCGCTCACGCTCGAGCTTGTCGTCCTACGGGAGGATGGGTTCGGGTAACGTGGGGTAGGGGAGGATGGGTTCGGGTACCGTGGGGTAGGGGTCTGGCGCTTCTGAGCTTGTCGTCCTACGCGGGTGAATACGCCGCCCTCGGGGCGGGAATAGACTGCCTTCTGGCGGCCGTCGCTGCTTCTCCTTTTACTGCCTGTGTGTGTGCGTCTTGGGCCCGCGGTTGTGCTCTGCGTGAAGAGGGTGCCGTGCAGAGGCGTCAGAGCCCCGCGTGGTTACGAGCGACAGAAAGACAGCGAATACCGCGGAATACGGCCGAGCGCAGCGGAGTCCGCGTCTCCTCTCGAGCGCCGGCTGGGGCACAAGAGTACGTGTTCCGCTTCGGCGGAAGTGCTTTCTGTTTCTAGGCTTGTGGTCGTTCCAGTCCGCGGCCCTCTCGACCCCTTCGGTCGCCGAGTGCCCCGGCGTCTGCACGGCAACCATCGGGTGGAGCGCCTAGTGTGAATACGCCGCAGTGTGAATACGCCGCAGTGTGAATACGTCACGGCGCTGTGTTTTTGTGTGAACGCCACAGTGTGAATGCGCCAACCTCTCACGGATTCCGCTTCTAGGCACGAGATATGGAGAGATATGGGGAGATGTTCCGCTTCTAGGGCGGCGTACATACGCGTGCTCGCAGCGGTAGTGGAACTGCACGTCGACCTGGTCCGGTCCGGTCCGGTAAACTTCAGGGAAGGGGTGGGGTGGGGTGGGGGGGGGGGGGGCGACCCTCGCGACTCCACGTCTAAAAAGACTGCAGCCAACGGAATAAAGGTGCCAGCCCCGGTGTGTGTGTGTGTGTGTGTGTGTGTGTGTGTGTGTGTGTGTGTGTGTGTGTGTGTGTGTGTGTGTGTGCGTGTGTGTGTGTGTGCGTGTGAGTGTCGACCTGGTCGCCGGCGTAGCGAAGCGCACACAGCTCCTTCATGCCCGCGGGCGAGAGGACGTACGCATGCGCGTCCATCGACCGCACGCGCACCTGGTAGTAGCGGGCAGCCTTAAGTCCGAGATCTGAGCCCCGCGCCACGCCCCAAGCGACCAGGAGCAGGAGACATGGCCTTGCACCACACTTGCACCACGCTTGCACCACACTTGCACCACACGCGGGGACTGGGGAGACGGGAGCGCACGCGCACCTTTCCATCGCACCGAGCTGGGGTGCGCGCTGCTCACACCGGACGCCCCCCCTCGGGCGCACGCGCACCACGGCGCCGCTGCCGGCCAGCAAGTCCATCTTGCGCGGGAAGTGGCCTTCAAATGAAAGACGGGCGGGATGCAAGCAGATTGCGGGCGGCCTAGAGCCCTCTTGCCGAGGCTGCGCTCGCCCAGAAAGAAGATCCTCCAGCCGCTGCCCCCGCCGCCCTCGACCTCGCCGCCCTCGCCCGCGCACTCGCCGCCGCCGCCGCCGCCGCCATGATTGACGCCGCCGACGCCGCTTCTGCCACTCCCGCCACTCCCGCCACTGCCTCCACTGCCTCCGCTGCCTCCGCTGCCGCCGCTTCCGCCGCTGCCGCCGCTGCCGCCGCTGCCGCCGCTGCCGCCGCTGCCGCCGCTGCCGCCTCCGAGCAGAAACGCGGCGGCGGCGGCGGCGGCGTGCGGCGTGAGGCGGCTAGACAGGAACTCGACGTCATCCTGCGGGGGGGCGGGGAGGGAAGAGCGGCGTGGGAGAGACAGAGCCGGAGGCCAGCAGAGAAGAGACTTGAGAGGCCAGAGAGGAGATACTGCGCGCCTCAAAGGTCAGGGCGCGCCGAGCGCCTGCAGCGAGCGCCAAGCGCGCGGCCTGCCGGCAGGTCGGCTGTGAGCAGCAGCGGTGAGTGCGTCTCGGAAGCGCGTCTCGGAAGCGGCCTTCTGGTGGGCAAGGAAGCAGCCGCGCTTGCCGTCCACGAGGTCGGGCTCCTGCGAACGAGCGCGGACGGGGCAGGCGTACAAGCGATGTCGGCGGCGGGCCGTGTGCAAGTCGTGACTGGGTGTCCTTTGCCTGTTCGAGCCACTGGACGCGATCGGCGAGGCCGACGGCTGCGAACTGGGCCTCGGCGGCGCGGCGTCGTTCGGGACGCGAGGTGAGCGTGATGCACTGCACGAGGTCGATCTCGTTCCACAGCGCCTCCATGGAGGGCACTTTGCGGCAGTTGTGTGGGTGAGAGCGTCTTGTCCAGGTCCCAGGCGCGCGGCACCGGCGAATAGGAGTCGCGGCAGCGGAAAAGAATTTTACAACTCGAAAAGAATCTTAGCAAAAAATACAAGACCCTCTCTCACAGAACACTGGCACGACAAGGGCGCAGACTGGCGCGGACTGGCACACACACCGGCTGAGGGCCCAACAGGAGAATCGTGTTTTTTGGGTTGGGTTGGGTTGTCGGCACGGGTTGGGTCGGTCACTTGTAGTGAGCGTCGGGCTGGTGGTTCGACACCGAGTGAGTTGGGTTGTCCGCCCAACCGACCGCGTGAGATAGGGTGCTGACCTTTCTCGCCGAGGCTCGCCGTGGCCCCACACGGCGGCCTCTGCTCGCGTTTTCGAGCCAGAACCTTCGTCCGGGCCCACGGCCGGCACGCCATCGTGACTCCGCGCGCTCGGCCTCCACCGGCTTGCTGTGCGGACGGCTTCTTGTGGCTCTCGTCGAGAGCGTTTTGGCGGCCCGGCGGGTGGGAGAATATGTGTCGTCTGTTGTGTCACTGTGTACGTCATATCGGTCTTGATAATAAGCACGGTCGATCCGTCGAAGCGATACACTCGTTCCTATCACGTTGGACGGCTTGCACGGAGCTCTGTGCCAGCACACAGGAAGAGCCGCGCTGCAAGAAGAGCTCGATGGGGAGTGAGAAGCGTCAGAAGAGCTTGAGGGGTAACCTGAAGTCCGTCGTGACGCTTTTATTTCCCCCCAGGTTTGACCGCGCAGCTTTCAAAACTCGACGATATCTTCCGGAAAGACTGAACTTTCCGCAGGCGCCGCGGCAGCGGCATGAGAGGCGCAGAGAGGCTGCGAGTGCTCGACGAGTCTTGCGAGCTGCGCGGTCAAACCTGGGGGGAACTGACCGCATCAAGTCGGACTTCCGAAACCTGGGTGAGCACCTCTGACGGTTCTCCTGCCATCGCCGAAGCTGTGCCTAAGCATAACTCCCAAACCCGCAGCGGCCCGGGGGGCCTTGGGGGCAGCCTGCCGGACCGCCGCTGCACGGGGCTAAGCCCCAGAAGATGGGAGCTGTCGTCCGTGCCTCCCCTCTATGCGTCAGAGTGGGACCTACCTACGCCGCGCCGGGTGGGGGGCGCGCCCGGTCCTCGACGGAGCCGCGCGCCCCAAGCGAGGCGACCCAGGCGGCGAGTAGTCGCTCTCGTGCCGGAGGGGGCTTTTGGCCATGACTGTGCAGGTGTGGTGGTGGTGTGGGTGACGTGGTGGTCTGGACGTCTGGACTGCGCGGTCTAGTAAGAGTTTACATTTCCCCACACACACAAAGCGATGGGACAAGGGGGGGGCAACCCTCGCATCTCCACACCCGGACACGGGCAGGTGAGCCCCACGGCATTCAAAGTGGTCTGGTGCACTGGTGGTGGTGGTCGCGGTGGGCGTGCGTGTGGTGGCGTGGTGGAGTGCTCGCGGGGGTGCGTGGTGCGTGGTGGCCTGGTGGCGTGGTGGTGGTGGTGGTGGTGGTGGTGGTGGTGGTGGTGGTGGTGGTGGTGGTGGTGGTGGTGGTGGTGGTGAGGTGGTTTAGGGGGTTACGCGCGAATTGCAGTTTCGCGCCACGCCCCTGTAGCGCACCTGCTCCTCGTTCGTTTCCAGCCTTCCAGGCGGTCGTCTCGGCTCTCGCCGCGCTGCACATGGCTGATCTACTCTCCTCGATCTTCTCTCCGAGCGGCTACTCCCCGGCTCCGCGATTGCCGGCCGCCCTCCGCCGCCTCGACGCTGCCCAGATCACCCCGCTCGACGCCGCCGCCGCCCGCCACTCCAGCAGCTCCGCCTCGCGTGGGACGGCTGGCTCCGGCGCACCGTCGAGGACGTCCACCGCTCTCAGTAACCAGAGAGTAACCCAACGGTGCACAAGGCGGTCGAGAGCCCCTCAGGTGAATGAGACACCGTCGCATGTGTGTACTGTGTATGCCGCGAGAGCGTCATCGCACCGCCGCCGCCTCGTTGTAGCCGTCGTCGTCGTCTGACCGTACTTGCACCACGCACACGTCTCCCCCGTGCACGCTCTCCACCCCTTGCGCTGCACTGCCGCCTCCAATCCTGCGCACCGCTCTCTCGGTGCTGCGGTGGAGCTGGAGGAGCCGGCCCGCCGCATCCGTGGCCTGGCGAACAAAGGCGATGTAGGTCGCCAGCCACAGAGTCTCCTCGGTGGGCAGACCCGCCATCGCGGCGCGGCAAAACTGCGCCAGCTGTTGCGCGAGCGCCGCCGAGGCGCGCTCGACCCCGGCCGCAGCGCTCGCCTGCTCCTCGTCCCGCGTCGGCGCCTCCTCCGTGTTGCCTCGCCGCGACGGCCGTCCCGGCGGCGCCTCTCGGAAGACAGGCCACCCGCAGTTCAAACGGGACGTGGCCTCCCGCCCCGACCCCTGGCCGTGCTCCACAGTCGCGGCAATGGCGCGCAGCAGCTTCGCGACGGCGGCGGTGAGATCGGTCAGCGGGCCGGCGAGCAGCTCAGAGAAGTGGGTGCGCGAGGCCCCGGCGGAGCCATTGACGGGATGACGGGTGTACTCGTCGAGCGTCACGACGGAGTAGATGAAGCGCCGCATATGGGTTCCAACGTCGCGAAAGGTCGCCCAGTCCCCGCCGCCGCCGAGCTCCCACTCCTCCCACTCCGCCGCCGACACCGCCGCCTGGGGGGGGGGGGCATTGGCTACGGGGGGTGAGAGGGGGTCATTGGCTACGTCTCGGCTGAAGGCTGGATTATCTCGGCTGACCTCGTACGCGGGCCGCGAGCTGATGATCTGCTGGTACGTGGCGTGGATGTCGCACTCAATCTCCGGGTCGTCACAGATCTGGGAGATGCGAGCCAATCTCGATCCGGAGCAGAAGGCGCCAACCACGCTGCTCATCGCCTGAGCCGCGTCGAGCAGATTGTCAGCAAGGATGCCTCGTAGTTCTCTCGACGCCAGGATCCGAGGAGGAAGTGCCGTGACGACCATCGCGATGAGCGCGCCGACGAGGATCATGACAACGCGGTAGACGCCAGACTGGAAGTCGTCTCGGTACTCGAGGATGAGTAGAAAGTCAAAGGTGAGCGCGGAGAGGAAGAGCGCGTAGCTCCAACTCGCCCACGCCTTGCTGGAGGCCAGAAAGGTTGCTGCGCCAGTGTAGGCGAAGATGGAGGCGCCGACAAAGACCGAGGCGAGGGGCGAGGGGTCGCGGTTAAAACAAACGGAGGGCAGCATGTTTACGAGAAGTCCGCACACGAGCGCTGCTCCGGCAGCAAAGGTGGTCCCGACGACTCGGTTGAGCGTCTTGTGCGTGGTGGAGCCGAGGGTCTGCGTCTGCATGACGACGATTGTGGTGATCACTGCCCAAACGCCGGTGCCCTTGGTGATCTCCTCGACCGGGTTGATCAGCGTCAGCGCGGCGCCGATGAGGACGGCGAACGCTGTCTTGAGCGCGTGGATCCGACGCAGCCTCACGGCAGTCGAACGGTAGCGGCCGTCCTCGGTGATGACGCGCTGATCGCCGCCGCGCCGGGTGCTGCGGATCCGCCGGGCGTACCGCAGCTGCCTCCAGCGGGCCGATGCACGCAGTGGAGCGTCGAGCGGGGGCGTAGACGTTGCTGTGCCATCGCCGTGCAGCGGCGTGGGGGTGCTGCTATCCCCTTTGCTCATGGCTCGCCACTTTTGGCGGGATCAAGGAGAAGCCGGAGGACGACCATCGACCACCGACCACCGACCATCGGCTCCGCGCTGTTTTCTTTCTTTCTTTCTTTCACAAGGTGAGGCACCGGTCTTCGAATGGATGGAAACCGGAGAGCTCAGGGCAACAACGCAAGATGAGACCGGAGCGCCGAGCCTCGCAACGGTGAGGGAAAGAGGCGCGGGCGGATGGTGCGAAGTGGAGGTATGGGAGGACGGTGGACAATCCTCTGCGAGCGTCACACGCGAGGAGTGGGGGCCGGAGTCGCGCCGAGCCCGGGCAGAAAAGGGGGCGCCACGGAAACTCAAGAGGTTGGTGTGCGGCGGACCGGTAATAAGGGCGGCCCTCATGCAGCGGGCCGCCACGACCAGCGAAGGATGGGAGATTGCGGCTAGCCCATCCAGGTGGGCAGTGCAGTACGCGCCTACCACGCGAGTGCGCGCCGCGGTGCCGCTGGTGAAACTGGCCGTCAAGCACCTCGCATCGCTACACCTCTCACGGGTCTACCGACCGATGCGTACCCTTGACCCATCCCGCCCGCCGGACGATGCAACGGCCACGACGCGCTTCTATGATCTATTGGCTCATACCGAACGAGAAGGGCGCGCGATCCAAGACGACACGAACCGAGAGTGGGAAATCGAGTACATCTTGGCGCAGCGCACAAACATCGAGCGAGGGGAGCCGGAGTACAAGGTGCGATGGCGGGACGCATCCGAGGAGGAGGATGAGTGGCTAGCGCAGGAGGCAGTCGCTGGCCCACTCCTAGACGCCTTTACCGCCGCATTGGGCCCCTCCGACGGCAGCGACGTAGGTGGGGACGGAGGCAGAGATGAGCCAAGTGACGGCGAGGGCGACAGTGACGATGGCGACGGCGACGGGGGGGGAGAGGGGAATGGCGAGAGCACAGCCTCTGATGAACGAAAGATAGCGCGGTCTATCTTCCGCTCTATCCACGACAGGTCCCTATCACGGCCGACGTCAGACACGGCGTACTCAGTGTTGACTGATGCGCTACCGGTTGGACCGCGACGATGTAAGAAGCCACGTCGACGGGGGCTGTGCGACCTGTGCGGCCTACTGGGCGGCGTGAACCGGGGGCCGCAGACTCGTTCTGCGCGCCAACGGCTGGTGACGCTGTGTTGCCCTTGAGCTAGTCCTTCCCCGGTCGCCTAGCCTCTGCGCTGTCTGGCGGACGCCTGTATGCCATGCACGCGGACCACGCTTGCGTGGATACGTGGCTGGCAGGCTGACCCGTGTGCGGGGTAACCCGCGCACGGGGAAGCTTCACGGGTTCGAGCCGTCAAACATTGAGCAGCGGAGGTGTGCCGAGGGGGACCGGGAGGCGGTAAGCCGTCGTCGCCCGGCGCTGCATGCAGCACCGTGGCGATGGCGCTAAGAGGTTCCTCTTTTCCGCGCCCCCCCCGCAAGGCGCGCGATACACACACTTTCTTTCTATCTTCCCCGGGAGAAAGGGCCGCCACCACAGAGGGATTTTAAGGAGAGTTTGGGGCTTTTGGCCATGATTGTCAACGAAAAAATTCTTCAATGAATCAATTCTTTCGCAGCAGCGGGGCCTCGTCTTCGACAGATGCACCGTGATATTCAATCAGCGGTGAGTGCAAGAGAGGACCATAGACTGGTTCCACAATAGATTTAGCCCTCCGGCCACGTCATGGGGCCATTCGAAGTGCCGCGGCCGGCTAGCTCGTGACGGCCCGAGTCCGAGGATTGCAGCCGTGAGGCTCGGGCCCTGGGTGCAGTCTGAGGCCCCACGCCTGTCGCTCGGGCGCGGAGGCGAGCCACGAGCGCATTCGGTACCCAGGTCACGCATCTTTCCACGCCCTCATTCGAGCGACAATCGCGGACACAACACTGCCTCACGCCCTTACTCTATTGCGGCTAGGCTACTCAAGCGAGACCTGGTGGCAATCCCGTCTGGCCAGCTAAACACGCCGCTTCGCGCAGGTATCGCGCCAGGCCCTGCCACCGCTCGCCGCCTCGCCGGCACGCTCGCGCTCTCCACAGATCCAATGCGCGCAAATACTCCGACCGGCGCGCACACCCACTCCGCCGCCGCCGCTCATGCGACCGCAACGCCGCGCCGCGACGTGCGCACCGCACGCAACCGCACGCAGCGACGCTTACCCGTCGGCCGTGGCACGCCGGCTCACGCATATCACATTGGTCATATTGTGCCGCAGGCGTTTGGCTCTCCCATGCGCCATGGCGCTCGGCGACGGGCACATGCTCGGCGGCGAGCAGGCGGCGAGCTGCATGGAATACGGCGTGGTGTCGGCGTCGACCATGGCGTGCCACGCCGCAAGACACACGCTGTGCGTCGCCTCAAAACCTCGGATTCTATCCGACAGCTAGCCCCGCCAGAATCACGCAGAATATTTTTACTAATACACGCAGGGTGAAACACGCACGCAGACACGCAGAGGCACGCCGTGCGGAGTCGAGTCTCGGCTCTTTGTCCGTTCGTACTTAAGTACAAGTACCTTCTCCAAATTATATGTCGTCACCGTAGCCCCCGTGGCCGTGCCAGCACACTGACGTTGTGTCCCGCGGGTGCTGACACCTCTCTGCGAGGAAGCGATACTCTCCCAGCGTGCCAACGTGGCACGCTGAATGCTGGACACATCGAGCCTGCAACGGCACTGCCGCGTACACCGATCGGCACCGCCCTCGAAATAGGAGAGCCTAACCAGGAACGCCAAACGCCTGCGGCACAATGGCCAATGCGTGAGCCAGCGAGACGGCCGACGGGTAAGCGGCGCTGCGTGCGGTGCGCACGTCGCGGCGCGGCGTTGCGGTCGCGTGAGCGGCGGGCGCGGGCGTTGGTCTGCGTGCGTGAGTTCGCGCGGCTGTGTGTCTCTCCGGAGAGCGGAGCGCGAGCGTGCCGGCGAGGCGGCGAGCGGTGGCAGGGCCTGGCGCGATACCTGCGCGAAGCGGCGTGTTGAGCTGGCCAGACGGGATTGCCACCAGGTCTCGCTTGAGTAGCCTAGCCGCAATAGAGTAAGGGCGTGAGGCAGTGTTGTGTCCGCGATTGTCGCTCGAATGAGGGCGTGGAAAGATGCGTGACCTGGGTACCGAATGCGCTCGTGGCTCGCCTCCGCGCCCGAGCGACAGGCGTGGGGCCTCAGACTGCACCCAGGGCCCGAGCCTCACGGCTGCAATCCTCGGACTCGGGCCGTCACGAGCTAGCCGGCCGCGGCACTTCGAATGGCCCCATGACGTGGCCGGAGGGCTAAACCAATGTGCAACCAGTCTATGACAGACGCACTCGAGCGCCTGCGGGAACATGCCTTTGAGACGCGCAACCCGAAGGCGGCCAAGCCACTTGTGCGGGCGGGGACCTTTGTGAAGGTAGGGGTCAGGGGTGGAACGATTCTGGTGTCGCGTCGGTCCAGTCTGGTGTCAAACCCGGCCAAGGTTATTAGATTAGACTCGGCGGCGGCCCCCCGCACCTTGGCCGGATTTGCCGACAAGAAAGAATTGGCGCTGCAAGCACAAAAATCTCGCACAACTGGGCCCGAAAACACAGCGCAAAGTCAGGGGTCCTGAAGCGTGGAACGAAACGCGGCGCGTCCGGAACTTGACTTCGTCGATTGCTCCAGCCCGTCCACGCAGGTCGAGACGCTCACCTCGCCGCAACCCTCGCCAGAGAGGACGCAATGGTGCGTACCGTCACTCAGCCACCGAGCGCTGCTGGGGGAAGTCCAACGTCACTCCCTCTCCCTGTGCAGAAGCGAGCTTTCCTGCTCCCGACGCCATCAGCAAGCAGTTTTCACAGAGCCGTTTACGACTTGAAGTTGAAGCGGCTCGCTGCCGCCGAGGTGAAACGGGCGCTGACGTCCGACCTCGCGACGGCCTTGGGCCCAGCTACCGGCGCGCCGTCGAGTGCACCTCTACTGCCGCCGGTCGCAAAGCGTCTGCTGATCTGTCCAGTAAGCTGCCTTGGGCTTGGCAGCGGTCCTGTCGCCCCACGTGTGCGGTGCTAGCTGCAAGGCAGAAGCACCGTGTCGCACGGTGCTGCTGTCGCCGCCAAGGGTGGTGCGGGTACGAGTTCGCTCTCTCGCATCCCAAAACGCCCCGCTCGCCGGCTCCGACGGCCTGCGGCACCACCGCCTAGTTCATGCTATCGTCAGGTGCGTTGTGTGTGCCAGCCCGATGTGTCCGCGCCCTCGCCTAGATTTGTGCTCTCAGAGTTGTCAATTCTCCCAGTTCACTCGCCCCACCTCTGTGCTTGTTTGGTCTTCCGCGGAGCACAAGTACTGGCTACTGCGCTCTGCGCACTGCGGCTGCCGCGTGTGTGCGTGTTTAACTGCTGTGCCTACGTGTGTACTCCTACTCGCTACTGCGTACTGGCTACTTTGTTCGGCCACTTGACTTGCTCACTTTCGTTGTTCCCGACACGAGCGACATAAAGTATGTAGAATGTACGTACGCAGCTCCACACATCGTGATAAGGTGGTTCACGCCGCTCGAGCAATCTCTCTCGCGACAACAGGCCCCGTACTCGACGACCACACGCCTGTCGCGCTCGCGCCGCACCGCTGGCTCACCCTCACCCTCCCTCGTTACCGCAAAGGGTCCATCGCGCGGCCAGAAGCTGCGGGCCAACTATTGGAAGGTACCGGGGGGCCTCCCCCCCCCCCCCCCCCCTTGCCCTGCAGACGGCATCGGCGGTTTGCCTCTCCGAAGACCCCCCCAAGCCCCTCCCCTCGTCGCCCTCCCGCTCACGTTAGCAGCAGGAACGCGAGCGCCGGCACGTTGCCCCACCACCCCGCCCCGCCCCGCCCCGCCCCGCCAGCCGTCGTCTCCGACTCCGCGAAGCCACCAGCCACGAAGCCACGAGCCGACGCCGCCGCGCCGCCGCGCAACGCCTCCGCCATCCTCGTTGCCGGCGCCGACCACGCCGTCGCGGCGAGCAGCGCGGCGCGTGCGTGGCGCGCGTCGTGCGCCGCGGCGCCGACGACCTCGGCGGCGGCGGCGGACGCGGCGGCGGCAGACGCGGCGGCGGACGCGGCGGAGGGCCGGGCAGCGGAGTTGTTGAAGCAGCGGCGCGAGAAGCAGCGCGGCGGCGGCGGGGCGAGGCCCCCGCTGAGGATGAGGGCGAGGACGACGAAGAGGACGGCGACGGCGCCTGCGCCGCGCGGCGGCCCCGACGCGGCAGGCACGGCGGGCACGGCGGGCGGCGCGCGCAGACGGGCAGGCGGGTCTGGCGAGACGTCGCCGCCGCGGCGGCGCAGCCGCGCGAGCTTGGAGGACGCCTTTCGCACCTTTGCGAGCCCGGCGGCGGCGGTGGACCCGCCGCCGGCCGCGATGGCCTCGTGCACCTAATACAGACATGCCCTCGACATGTGCACATGCGCATGCACATGTACATGTTGTTGTGCATGTGCATGACATGTGCATGTGCATGTGCATGTGCATGTTGTGGGGACAACAACATGCACATGACATGCACATGACATGTACATGTGCAGGCATATTCTCGATCCGCCGCCGGCCGCGATGGCCCTCGTGCACCTCCCGCCCATCTCACCATCTCCCATATCTCCCCATATCTCCCCATATCTCGTGCGCTCTCCCGCGCCGTCATGTAGAATCTCGGGGAACTCTCGGGGACTCTCGGAGAATCTCGCACCTCCCGCGCCGTCATCGCCGACTCTGTGGCAGAGCGCACCCTCGCGACCGCCTTCATCACCGCCCCCGTGTCGGGAGACGGCGTCAGCGGCGAGGCGGGCGAGGGCGGCAGCGGCGAGGCGGGCGAGGGCGCGAGCTCGTCGTCGAGGCGCGAGTTGGGCGCGGCCACAAGCGGCGGCTGCGGCTTGTCCGGCGTGCCTAGAGATACCGCGCGGGGATCACCCCCACTTCGGCGGTGCTCGGCGCGGCTGCGGCTTTGTCCGGGCGTGCCAAACGAGGGAGGCGGCGGCGGCTCGGCCGGCAAGGCGCCCGCAGCCCAAGCCGCCTCTGCCGCGGCGACGTCTAGCGGCGGCGGCGGCGGCGGCGGCTCGGTGGGCAAGGCGCCGGTGTCGAGCATGGCGGCGCGGGCCTGCGCGGCGCCGCTTGGCGAGACAGGCTCACACGAGAGCTGCACCAGCGCCTCGTGCCCGAGCTGGGCGAGCAGCGTGCGGGTCGTCGGGCGGACCTCGGGCGAGGCGGCAACCGGCGCGGGCGGCGAGGCGGCGGCCGAGAAGGGGGAGCCCGGGTGCCACGGCGAGGCGGCCTCGGAAGACGGCGAGTCCACCCGCCAGGCGCGAGGCGGAGAAAAGACGAGTCCCTCCTCCTCCTCGCCCTCCGTCGCCGCCTTCGCCTTCGCCTTCGCCTTCGCCTCCTCCTCCTCCTCCGCCACCGCCACCTCCGCCTCCTCCTCTGTCTCCTCCTCCTCTGTCTCCTCCCCCTCCTCCTCCTTGGCGGGCACGCGCCAGTCGAAGCGGCCAACACCGACCAGCTTCCCCGACGCTCGAGGAACGAGGCCGCGGAGGCGGCGCGGAAGGCACGGACCGGGCGACACCTCCTATGGATGATGGCTAATGAGTTCGGCTGGCGTCACACCTCATGCCGCGCCGGGAGATATGGGGAGGTGTGGGGAGATGTGAGGAGATATGGGGAGATATGGGGAGATGCGGGGAGATGTGGGGAGATATGGGGAGATATGGGGAGATGCGGGGAGATATGGATAGGTGTGGGGAGGTGTGGGTAGATGTGGGTAGATGTGGGGAGATATGGGGAGATATGGGAGATGCGGGGAGATGCCAGACCTGACGCCGCTCCTCCGCCTCCGCCTCCTCCTCCTTCCCCTCCGATGCCGCGAGCGCGCCTGCGGCCGGGTGCACCTGCGCCGCCCCTGCCGGCGAAGCGAGGCCGATCGCTCGCAAGTTTGCGCTGCGGGCTCGGGCCAACCGCCCAGCATAGCGGCGCTCCTTTTCCGCGCGCTCCGCCTCCGCCTCCGCCTCCGCCTCCGCCTCCGCCTCCGCCTCCGCCTCCTCGCCGCCGCGCCCCAGCCGCTGCTGCTCCACCGACCCCGGTGAGAGCTCGAGCAGCCTGGGAGTCGACGGCGACGGCGCGGACGGCGGCGACGGCGCGGGCGGAGGCGACGCCCCGGTCAGCGACGCCCCGGTCGGCAGCGGCGGCGCGTCAGGGAAGAGGGAGAGGAGGAGTGGGGGGGGCAGCACGGCCAGCGACGCGGAGAAGACCTCTTGCGACGCGGTGACGACGTGCTGGGAGAGGCCGCCGCGGGTGAGCGAGAAGAAGACGTCAGCCACCTCGCCGGTGTCTGCCGACGGCAGCGTGAGGGAGGGGAGCCAGACAAAGAAGGCGTCGCTGCGTGGCTCGTGGAGGACGACGCACTCGCGATGGCGGAAGCAGGCGAGCTGGCGGACCCGACCGACCCGGGCCGACGCCGACGCCAGCGCGGCCGCCTCTCCCCGCTCCACTCCCAGCACCGCCACCTGCTCCGAGGGCAGCGCCACGGGTGCCAAGGCCGCTGGCTTCTTCGCCGCCGCCGGCCGTGCCGCGAGGGCGTTGCTCCCGAGCGGCGCCAGAGGAGAGCGCGCCCGCCCTGCGATCGGCGTGCTCATCGGAGGCGTGCCGCTGCGGCTCAAGAGTTTTGCGCTCTCTGGCAGAGCATCCACCTTCTGCTCCGTCTTTTGCGGCGGGCTGTACCACTGCCGCTGTGGGAGACACGCACGGGTGGCGGCGAGCCACGAATCCTCCCAGGCCTTGGTGCGAGGTGTCCGAGGAGGCGACGGCGACGGCGACGGCGACGGCGACATCGGCGAGCTCGGCCGGTGAGGAGCTTCAAACAAGGAGGGGGCGCAAAGTTTCTCGCTCCGGCTTAAATTCTTTTTTTGTAAAATTCTTCTTCTTCTTCAGATTTTTTTATGTAGGTTATGTCGGAGGGGCTCTCTTGTAGAAAAACAATATGCTGCAGCCCAACTGCACTCCAAGTGCCGAAAGGAAGACAACACAGAAATAAAGAATTTTACGCGGTACCACCCGCCAAAAGTGCTCCAAAATCCCTACGGCTACGCTTGCGCTGCGCGCTGCTCTCTCGTCGATACGTGTCCTCACCAAGGCAGCTCACCGCTCACCCGGCACACCGCTCACCCGGCGCCGCGAAGCCGCATGCGTAGTCGCTTCGTAGCAAGTCGCAGAGGGCAGCGCGCGCCGGCGCGGTGAGCTCGACTCGAAGCTCGTTCCCACACCCGTCCCGATGCTTGGCAACCTCGGTTGAGCGCCTGAGCAGCCGCGACACGTTGGTGCCGTGCGACACGTTGCAGAGGCGGAGCAGCGCGGCCATGTCTCGCTCCTGCCGGTGTGAAAAGTACCCGGATGAAAGACATCCGATGCGGACGCTATGCATCTTGGCTGGTCACAGCCGAATACAGCTGAGCTCCCTTCCCCTCGAGCGCTGGCTGGAGTACACCCAAGTCCGTCTGTTCAGCGCGTCTAGGGCTCCCGCGCCAGCCACTCCACGCGGCCGACAAAGCCAAACGGCCGCGGCAGCCGCACGGCGAGCTTGAGCACCTGCGGCCACACGTGGAACGCCTGCGTGCCGATGCACCGCCTTGCGCGCACGTCCTCGACGAGCGGCGTCAGCACGTCGCCGCGGCAAGGGACGGACAAGCACGCCGCCTTGGGCCGCGGGCATCCAGTCCGGAACCCGTGGCGATGGCGGTGGACCGCCTCCGCCGCGCCCGAGAGGAAGGCGAGGAGCGGGTCGCGCACAAAGGTGAAGATGAGGTACGGCGGCAAGTGCCTCGCCTCTGGCATGGCATCGGACGTCTCCATGGCAGCGGGTGGCTCCTCAAAGGTGAGCTGCAGCGGCCGGCTGGCGTCCTTCACCCGTGCCAGCGCGTCCTGGTAGCCAATACCCTGGAGCGACGTTCCCTGCACTGCCACCACCACACACCCGGGCCGGATCGCCGGCTCGCTCGACGCGAGGCCGTCGTCTGTCAGCCACTCCACCCTCAGCTTCTCGCTGCCCTTCCAAAAGCGCAAGCCGAGGGTGCCGTGCTTCCGAAAGGTGACGGTGAACCGGCGCGGCGACCGTTCCTCCACTCTTTGCGCACTCTGCTGCGGACTCGTCGTCAGAAATGGGAGTCGGACCGGCTCCACCTCGCCAAAGGACGAGAGGAGGTTGAGGATGGTTCTCGCGGCCGCCTTTTGATTCGCCACATAGACGACTCGAAGGCGGTGCGAGACGAAGGCCATGTTGAAGGCGGCGTGCGCCTGTCGAAGGGTTGGCGGCCGTCAGAGGCGGCGGTGGGGCGCGCGAGGCGGCCTTCTCTGCCGAACGGGCGCACTCGGGCATCCGCGCTGTCGCCGTCCTGCCAGCGACGGGCTCGCTCAGTCCAGTCGCCGCCGCCAAAGTCGGCTGCAGCAGATTGATTGAACGCGGGCACGATGGCGAGCCACTGCGCCGCAAAGCGCTGCTGCTCGGCGAGGCGCGCGGATGCGCACGCCGAGGACGCGAAGCCGCGCGCGAGCTCTGTCATCTTGGAGCAGAGCCCCGGCGAGTCCTCGAAAGAGCCCAAAGGGTCCTCGGAGAGGGTACCCTGGGTGGGCGGGGCCTCTACTCGCCAGGATGCTCATCGTGGCTCCCTCGTGAAAAAAGAAAAAGCTCCGCCGCGAAGGTCGTCGCGGTCGCGCGTCCCCCCCATGCGCCATGGCCATCCCCTCGAACTCTATAAAAACGGGTCCCCCCGCGTTCAATCGGCCATGGTTCCGACAACTCAACATCTCTCTCTCTCCCATTCCGCGCGCGCACATGTGTCATGTCTCATGTGTCGCTTCGGAGAGAGTGTTTTGTCGCTTCGGCGAGAATGTAAAAGAAGGTTACAACGGGCCCATATAGGAAAATCTGAGGAAAATAGACACAAACGACACACGCACATAAAGGGCGACCCTTTCTCCGTGCGGCCGGGGCCGCAGCGCGCAGGGCCACATTGGGGCTCTGAGTTCCGCAGACACCCGCACAGCACCCACGCTGTTGATACAAGCGCGTTCCACGCGGCTTCACAGCTCGTTGCGACCGAACCGCTTGCCGCCCCCGCGGCCCCCGTGCCGGCGGGGACGGGGCTGCTTTGCGGGAACTCCCGGCCCATTCACGCCAAGCAAATGCAGTGTAAACACGAGCACGTCTCCTGCGCCGATGTCGTCGCCGGCGCCGCCCTCGCCGTAGCCGAGCTGGCTCGGGATGTACAGCTCCCACTTGTCGCCCGCCACCATGAGCTGCAGCGCCTCGGTCCACCCGCGAATCACCTGGTTCGGCGCAAAGCTGGCCGGCTCTCCTCGGTCAAAGGAAGAGTCAAACTTCTTGCCGGGCGGCAACTTGGAGTGCTCCTGCGCTGTCCTTCCCTCGTAGTGGCACGAGCAGCTCGTGCCTGGCAGCGGGTGCTGCCTCCCATCGCCCACCTGGAGCACGCGATACTGCAGGCCGCTCGCAGTCGTCACCACGCCCGGCTGCGCAGCGTTCGCCTTCAAAAAAGCATCCCCAAACTCGTTGGACGCGAGGGCCACGAAAGCGAGCAGGAACGCCATGAGGGCACGGACCGTGCTTGTGATACAGGCTGTGCTTGCGACGGCACAGCGTCCGCGGTGAGTGCTGTCACTGCCGCAACCTCTCACAGACCCGTGGAGGGAAGTATTTTGTTCTTTGCAGGCTGTGAACAGAGGTCGAGCTGGAGCACTTGTTAAAATGAACTCGGGGGCACGGGACGCGGCACAAACGGGGCACAAACGCCAGGCTACAAAGCAACTCGAGATCCCTCGAGAGTCGCGGAGTTGCGAGAGCTATAGTCAAGAAGAAAAACTCAATCATGGATGGAGAGAGAGAGATTTTTATTAACCAACAAGAAATCACGACTCTCACAGTGATTTGGGCTCGGCAGCTTGTTAGCCCTCAGCCGAAGCTGGGGCCGGTCCCGTAGCCGAGAGAGCCCGCGCCGATGAGTTCGACGCGGTCGGGGGGGCCTGCGGAGAGGCCAGAAGCTCGCTTTTCTTTCTCTCTTGGATGGACGTCGATGACGAACCGTCGCGTCGGGCGTCGAGGACGCACGTTAGTCAGGAGCGCCGTCCACCATGTCGGCCGCGGTGATGTCCCTGCAGCCACATGCCTTCACGCGATACGAGTGGCTACCAAAAAGCACCTCGGGCACGAGCACCAAGCACCGCGCCCTCTGCATCGCCTGCGCCTACCCCGGAACCAGCTACGAGCTGCACGGCACCGTCAAGGATCAAGAGGCACTCAAGAAGGGCCTGGAGGACAACGGTTACTCGGTGACCTTCCTCTCCGACGCGGATGATAAGCACGCGGTGCCTACGAAGGCGAATATCCTCAAAGAGATTGCCAACCTCTGCGACTGGCTGAATGAGGTGCGGGTCACGAGGAAGCTGAGAAGTGCAAAGAGCGAGCATCCACACATTCGAATAGCCAATGCTGGTATTCCGCAGCCTGCTTCCACCACTAGGACTCTCCCCCCTCGGTCTCCAGGAGAAGGGGCGAATGGGGTGGATCAGCTATGCAGGCCACGGCACGCAGACCAAGGCGCGCGTTTAGTTAGAAGCAGCTTGTTTCGACTGGGATTCGCTTGTCTCGAGAGGACCCTCCCCCTGGCAGGCGACGGTGGCGGGCGAGGAGCCAGATGGCAAAGACGAGGCGATGGTTCCGACGGACTACCCGACCGCCGGCTTGCTCACTGACAACGAGCTGAACCAGACCATGCTCAAGAGCCACAAGGTGCGAGATGCAGCGAATCTGCCGGCGCCAACGGCGTTTCTTCCGATCCTAAAGCAATGTCCCGGATCAGGTCCAGAACGGCTGCGCAATGATCATCTTCATGGACTGCTGCCACTCTGCCTCCATCCTCGACATCCCCTATGCGCTCGAGACAGAACCGGTCGGGCCCAAATACGTCGAGGACAAGTCGATCGGCGACATCTTCGGCGTTTCGGCTGCGGCGGACGACAAGGTGGCGTACGAAACGGCCGCCGGCGGCGTCTGCACGCGCGCCTTCATCGAGGCGGTCAGGAAGCTGGGCAAGGGGGCGCTGCCTGCAGAGGTGGCGCACGCCCGAGCCCGAGGGCGCCACACAGCTACAGCCCGCCTACCGCCCGACGGGCTGCCCTGCCCCCACGCGCAGATCTTGCTGGAGATGCGGCAGTACGCCAAGGAGCGACGTGTCCCTCCGCCCGCACACCCTCGCTCTCTCCCCCACGGCAAATATCGGCGCATTTCGGCTCCTAGGACCAGAACATGGACCAGCTCATCACGATGCACTCCAATCGGCAATTCACGTTTGGCGACTTTCAGATTATGAAGGGCGTGGATGTGGTCAAGGAGGCGGCTCCTCCGGTGTCCGCGCCCCCGGCACCCGCGCCTGCGACAGCGCCTTCGCCCGCGGCAGAGCCTCCGGGACACGCCGGCTACAACCCCGCGGCGCACACCTCGCACGTTTACACGGCCCCAGCGACCTCCAAGCCCGACCTCACCAAGGTCAAGGGGGGCGAGGAGCTGAACCGCCCTCCGGCTCAGGCTCCGCCCACGGCTCCGGCTACGAGCGGGAAGAAGGCGGGCGGGAAGGGCAAGGCCGGCACCAAGCCGGCCACCCAGCCGCAGTCGTCGTGCTGCGTCGTGTGTTGAGACGAGAGAAAACACGCCGTGCTCCCATGCCGTGTGAGACGTGAATGTGTCACGAAATTGTGCTGGGATCTTCTATTCGTCCTATACGTCATCTGGAGATGGAGATTCTGCTTTAGCGCGGTCCTCGCACGGTTCAATACGCTACCGATCGCGTACAGAGTGACGCGTCACTCTCAACGCGATTCAGGGGAGTCGCTGCGCACCGACTCCAATCTGACCTCCGGCGCGCCCAGCAGCCGGCGCCACCTCCAGTGCAGACCTGCCTACTCGACCCCGCCGGCTGGCTCGCAGCTGCGCGTGTCTCGCCTTGAGACTGTACAGTGTGCGGCTCGACATGCAACTCGAGCGTTGCCCTCGATTTGCGTTTCGGACGCCCTCGTTCCCGCAGCTGTCTAGCGCCCTCGCGTTGGCCCTCCTCGTCGGCGGCGCTGGCACCGCCGCGCCACACCTGAACATTGTCATTGAGAGCTGCTGCGTGAGACACCCCGCCCGCCCGAACGTCGCAGTGCGCTGCGCTGGGGGCGCCTCGTGGAGCAGCGCGTGAATGCTCACCATCTCCACAGGCCCCAGCTTATGGACCGAGACGGTGCTCCACAGGTCGTGCGCGATTTGCTTGCAGCCGGAGCCTTCCCCGCGCCGGCAGCGCGCCAGAGAGTGCATGACCTGACGCGCCTCTGGCTCGTTCCTACCTCGTCGCGACATGACCTTCTGCGGCCGCTTGGCGCGCACGACATCCGCCCACGGGTTGGCCGCAGCAAACAGCGCCACCAGCAGCGAGCCATTTCTCACGTCTGCAATCAACCGCGCCGGGAAGAGCTGCGGCCTCATCCCGGGCGCACGGGAGTAGTCTGAGTCGTTTCTCGAGCCGAAAGGATAATTTGCCCACCCCGCCGCGAGCCGTATGCAGGCGCCCATGAACCCATCGCCCCAGTAGTAGGACTCCCTCCCCGGCCATAGCCCTCCCGGACGGCTGAGCCTGCTCATGCAGCCGACGAGGGATGCCGCGGCGAATGACAGCGCCTCGCGGCTTAGGAGAGTGAACGCACCATGTATGCATCCCCCGGCCCCGCCCCCCATTGGCTCGCCCGCATACACGAGCAGTGGCTCACGACCGCCGGCTGGCCTCGAGTACTTTGCGTCGACAACCGCACGCACCTATAGATGTGTGGACAGGCCGAACCTCGTCCCCTCTCCAGACAGGCACGTTGGAGTCAGCACGCAAATGGGGCGCCACACACCGCCTCGAGGTCAACATATGCGTCATCTTCCGTCAGCAGCACCCAGTCGCACTGGCCACCATACCGTTCGTGCACAGTTCGCACCATCCACTCCTGCCGCGCCGACATGTTCCAGCGGCCGAGGTGGAATGTGCTACGATCGGCCTCGTCGTGGACCACGAGGTCGTCATTGCGCAATGACGAGCACAGTTTCGGCACCGTGGCACTCGCGGCGCCAAGGGACGTGAGGAGGGACGTCGAGGCTTGCGTCAGCTGCCGGAGGGTGGCGTTGAGCCGGGTGGCGTTGAACAGCTGCGAAATGCCGTGCGCCGACAAGACGTAGCGTAGGGTCGTGCCGGGCGGCAGCGGCCGGCTGCCCCAGGTGCTCATTGCGGCGACGAGCCGCAGGTAGTTGGCGTCGCGACCCGCCTCGGTGGAAACGAAGACACAGATGCTGTCTGGCGCGCTAGGCGGCCCGGCCGCTGCCCGGAGGGGGCGGCGAGGCATGTGCATATGGAGGAGTGCCTCGGGCTGGAGGAGTGCCGGGAGTCAAGTGCCGGGAGTCAAGCCGAGGCACTTCAGGAAAAGTCACGCGGACATGTTTCGTCCGTCCCCTCCGGTATTCGACATAGATATTGTTGCGGCGTGCCGTCCTCCCATCCCTCCCTTGTTTTGTGTGTTTTCTTTCTTTCTTTCTTTCTTTTTTGTTGTAAAGTTCTTTCTTTCTTTCTGGGGATTGGATCGAGATAGAAACCCTTCATGCCTGTAACAAGATCAGATGTGAGGGTCGTGGATCGCGTCACACCAATCCTCGCTACCCAACGCGGCCAAAGGATATCAACCTCGAGAACCTCGAGAGAGAGTGACCCCCGCCCCCGTGGTCAAGTCATCAGGGCCAGAGCGGCGCGAAGGCAGCAGGTACACCGAACGACCAGTAGGTTGAAGCGCCAGCCAGTGTTGGAGATGTTGGCCTCAAGCCTATTCCTCGCTAGCGGCTCGGCCTTCCTAGCGGCGCGGCCCTCGGCCCACTCGATACTGCCAGGCCGCCTCTCCGCCTCTCCGACCATGGGGCTGTCTGACGGCCTCGAACCCTCGCTGCGCGCCGGCATGAGCGCCGCAAGCAGCAAGATGGCTTTTGGGCCGCCCGGCCGGGTGCTTGGCGGCGCGGCGTCGGCGTGGGTTCTCCTCTTTAACGCCGACCAGCCCGACGAGGTGAGCTCTAAACTCCTCTCCTCGCTGCCCCACGCTACTGCCCAACTCCTCGCTGTCACCGCCACTCTCCTCACCGCCGGAGGGAGGCCGACGCTGCTGCCCAATTCCTCACTGTCGGCTCCTGCTCAGGGCGTCTATACGATGCAGAGCCGGCCGCTCGGCCACGGCCGCCGCACCTACCTGGTGAGCTTTGCGGCCCGCGACGACGCAGACACTTTCGCCTCGCTGCTCGAGGCACGTCTCTTCCGAGACACGTCGCAGACACTTCCGAGACACTAACTGACGCTTTCGCCCCGTTCCACGAGGCGGACTCGCGCGACGCCGCCTCGCCGGCCGCCGCTCCGGCGCAGTGGAGCGCCAGCCAGCTGCAGACGCTTTGCCATGCTGCTCGCTTCCAGCTCGCCCACCTGCCTGCCGGCGCGACTTAGCCGAGATTCGAGTCGAGAGAGAACCAACGGCTAGGTGGATGCTCAAGACGGGCCCTCGCCTTCCGACTGTGTCCTGGGCATCCCCGAGTCGGGTTCAGTTGGGGACTGTACCCTCTTTCTTCCGGCCGTACCGTACCCAATCCTAACCCTGACCCCGACCCTAACCCTAACCCTAACCCTAACACGAACCCGAACCCGAACCCTAAGCCTGACCCTGACACCTGTCCTCAAGGCGGGATGCTCTACCCGCCGTCGGAGAACGAGTACGACGAGGCTGTCCTCATCAAGCAGGAGCCCGAGATGCAGCCGAGATGCAGCCGAGACATGCCGCCGAGATGCCGCCGAGACTTCCCCCCACCCCACCCACCCCCAGCCCTGACCCTAACCGAACCCCAACCATAACCCCACCCCCTACCCTGGCCCTGACCCTAGCCCCAGCCGCGAGCAGGCGGGGCGGGCGGCGCTGAGCGAAGAGCCTTCCCGCGGCGCCGCGTTCTCCGCCGAGGTGCGCGCGAGATTGCGAGAGTTTGCGAGATTTTGCGAGATTTGCGAGACTCGGCGAGGCTCGGCGAGACTCGGCGAGACTCGGCGAGATTTTGCGAGATTCGGCGAGATTCGGCGGGATTGGCCGACAGTGGCCGAGACTCGACGGCCGCAGCCGAGATTCGGCCGAGATTCGCCGAGATTCGCCGAGCTCGCCCCCCCCCAGGTCTCCTTGTGCACTTTGTCTCCCGGCCCCGTGTGTCGGGCATTCTTGTGTCGAGCACGGCCTTCCTCCCCCCGTGCAGGAGCGCGCCAAGAAGCGCCGCCGATCCTCGAGTGCGGGCCAGCGAGATCGCAATCTCCCGCGCGCCGCCGAGCGGCTTGCGCCACGGCGCGCGGAGAGGGGGCAGGCGCCCGCCGGACAGGGCGACGAGGAGGGCCGGCTGGCGGCGCTGCGCCGGCAGCTCGAGGCGAGATTCCCGAGATTTGCCGAGATTCGCCCGAGATTCGCCCGAGATTGTCCCGGGTCGGGATTCGCCGCGGTGGCGATGCCCGGTCAGTAAGACCAGAGGCGAGGAGCAGTCAGGCTCAGAACACCGGCGCGCGGTATGGGTGTGGGCGCGAGACAGGAGATGACGGCCACGCTGGAGCGACACACACAGACTCACAAGCTCACAAGGCTCTCAGCCGGCTCGGCAGTCGCACATCTCGACCACACCACGAGTGCACGAGAGCAGTTGTCAACCTTGCTTCCGAGATCGGACCCCGGAGGACCCCTCTCCCCGTAGGCGCGCTGGGAGGCGGACGACGCGGACGAGCGCGCGTGACGCGGGAGATTGCGTCGAAAACGCATGTTACTCCTGATCTGCCGACACGTGCTCTGTGGAAGCTGCGTGACTATCTAGATAGCTCACGTGCATGTGGGCGCTGCCGAGAGCGAGTGAGCCGCCTCGGAGCTCTCGACGAGTGCCGCGCCGACTTAGGGCACGGCGCGGCCGCGGGGCCGCGGGGTTTGGAAGCTGGAAGGAGGGTGGGCGGTGGGGCGTGGGCGGGCGGGCCGGCTCCGGCCATGGAGCGCGGCTGGCTCGTGGTCTTTCGGCTTTATATGTAGGCGCCGCGCACAAAAGAAACGCGGCCTCGCACCGGGACAATCGCTGCTCCTTCGCTGACAACCACCGTCAGGCGTCACTTGGTCCTTGCGCCATCTGTGCAGAGCTTGCGAGCAGCAGAGCCAGGGAGCAGGGGCTAGTTCCATTTCACTCTGACACGCTAATCTTGAAAACGTCGAACGGAGCTCCGTGTTGCTCCCAGCGCCCTCCCCCGCGCTTCCTGCGGCCATGGCCGATGATACTAGTATGAGAGGTCATCTGGCTACCGCGAGCGCGACTCAACTCGCCGACGTCGTCCGATGATTGTGCCTCAAAGTCAGCCTCCGGAGGCTATCGTGGGGTCGAGCCGGCAGTAGCCGTGACATGTGGTTCCACCACCCCTCGTATGCTTTGCCTCTGACCGCCACCGTTCCCAGGCTGCCAAATGGGATGGAAAGGAAGGCTCGGCGAGCGTATAGAAGCGTGCTCGACCTCGTCGTGGCAACCTGCACGGCAGCGCTGGTAGGCGCGATGAGCGTCGTGCCACCTGACCCGAGACGGGTCGCAGGCGTCGTACCGAGCGCGTCGAGACCGTGTCCTGATGTGATCTGCACGGGTGAGTCACGTCGGCGTCAAAGGAGCGACGTGCGACCTGTCAGAGCTTGATCTCCGATCTCAGCGGCGTCGAGTCGTCTCCGGCGCGCGACAAAGGTACATCCCCAGGACGCGCAGAGGCAGCTGCGATCCAGCGGAGTGGACGGTAACGCACCGCGCCACCTGCTGTGCGTTACCGTCCACTCGGCGGGGTCGCAGCTGCCTCTGGAAGGCACCCAGATGTACCTTTGTCGCGCAAATGGTCAAATCAAGGTTTTGTAACGCGAGCTGTGCCACAGTGAAATGGAACTAGCCAGGGAGGAGCTGCTGCCTGCTCTCCAGAGTGACTTCAGTCGCAAAAGAGATGCATGCGCCACCCGAGGCGCTGTCGAGGTTCGCCGAGCGCGGCGCAGAGGTCGGGGAACACTGCTGACGACGAGCGGCTGGTCGGATTCACCCGCCGCTAGGACGGCGGCACGCACACGAGCTGCGGCCAAGCCGCCGTCCAAGCGGCGAGCGCGGATTGTCTGTGGCGTCCTCCGATTTCCTCAACTTATGAGACGACCACCGCAGTGTGGGGGTGGCGAGGCGCAGCGCGGCTCTACGCCTCATCGAGCTCGACCGTTACCGGGCATGCGGTCGAGCAGGTTTGGCACGACTCGTACTCGTCGTCGAACTCGTAGTGCGTCACGACGCCGGTCCGCCCTCTCGCGTTCTCAATCTCCTTGACCTTGACGTCGCCCACGACCTCGACCCGGTCTCCCGGGTAGAACTCGAGGCTGAGCCCCTTCGGATGGAATGCATAGTAGTCCTCGTCGTACACGACGTCCCAGCGAATGCGCTCCCTCTCCTGGAAGGCGGCGACGTCCTCCGCCCTCCGCGACACCAGTCGCACGTCGCGAGAGGCAAAGTAGCCCTTTACTCGAAGCGTCGGCGCAGCGCCTCGGCCGCTGCAGTGGAGCGGTGGCGCTGCGTTGAGGACAAAGGCGGAGGTAAGCGCGAAGATCGGCAACATAGGGATGTGAAAGACCAGTGCACAGCGCCATATAGGGGAATTCCTCCCCCGGTATTTATACCGGTAGGGAGGCGTGTGCCGAATACAAAGTGAAGAGGGTTCCACTCTGACCTGTTCCGACCCTGATCCGACCTCTCTCGAACACCGACCTGATCCGACCGTGTTCACTTCGAACACGGTCGGATCAGGGTCGGATCAGAGTCGGAACAAGGTCGGGAAAATCCCTCCCTCCCGCCGCCGCTGACCCCTGTTCCGACCGGTCGGATCAGGTCGGATCACGGTCGGAACAGAGTCGGAGTTCACAGGCCGAGCTCCGAGTTCACAGCTACGTGCCGTACGTCCCGTTGCCATGTGCACTGCCGCCACGCCTGACACGGACACTGCCCCTCGCGCCGACGAGCTGTGCGGGCCTCCGTCAGCGGCGTCAGACGAGCTGGCGGTGACGACTGCGACGCCCGCTGAGGCGGCGGCGGCGGAGGCGGCGGCGGAGGCGGCGGCGGAGGCTGAGGTGCCGCCGCCGGCCGAGGAGCCGGCGGCGCCGCCGGCCGAGGAGCCGGCGGCGGAGACGGAGGGCCCGGCGGAGGAGGAAACGGCTGCGGTGGCGCTCCCGGCAGGCGAGCCGGCGGCCGAGGAGGAGGCGGCGGACGAGGAGGTGGTGGCGGCGGGGCAGCCGGCAGGCACGGCGCCCGAGGTGCGCAAGTTGCCCAGCACGACTCTCTCAGTCACGCTGAAGGGCGACAAGGCGCAGCCGGCGATGACCGCGGACCTCTCCAGAAGGCGGGGCGTGAAGGTCAAGACCTACTCACGCACCATCGCGCTGACCATCACAGCCGGCACGACCACCACGCTGCGCGAGCTCGCGACTCAGGGCGCTCTCAAGATTCTGGGCCCACGCGCGGCCGAGGTCGCGTTGCGGCAGGAGGGTGTGCTCCACGCCGAGGACGCACTCGACGAGCCGGTCAAGCTCGACACGTCGGTCGTCTTCTCGCCACCCTCGACGCCCTCGACTGACCTCGTCCTCATCGTCTACCTCGATGCCGAGATCTTCCGCGACGCGTTTGTCGGCAAGGTCAAAGCCGACAAGGAGAGCTTCGAGGTGACGACACCTGCCCAAGTGCTTCCCTTCACACACTGCGTGCATGAGACTGCATGTGTCCCCGCCCACAGAGCAACGCAAAGGCCCACTCGATCAACATCCAGCAGGTGGAGATTTACGAGATGAGCGGGGTGAACAAGACCAACTTTCTCGCAGGGATCGGCGCCAGCGGGATGGACAAGGCGCCGCTCAACTGCTGCAACACGGAGAAGATCGAGACGTGGCTCGCCAAGTACAAGGGGAAGATGGAGAAGCTGCGCGCCGACCTCCTCGACCTGCGCCGCCGCAAGCAGGAGGGCAAGGCGTCTACCGCCAAGAAGAGCACCAAGCGGGCGCTCCCTCCTGGTGACGATGACGACGACGATGACGAGGGCGGCGACGACGACGACGACCACTCCCCCCTCCCCTCGCTCGAGGGCACGGTCCCGACGAGCGGCGTCGCAGCGGTCCCACACCTCTGCGCCGACACTGCCTCGCATGTGATGGCGACGCTCACAGGCGCTCTGTTTGCCGCGTGCATAGGTGTTCAACGAGGCGGCAGGCACGCCCCAGGCCAAGCCTCGGCAGCTCCCCGCCCGGTGATGGGCCGGCGTCTGGCTCGCCCACGACGGGCCCAGAGCCGCCGGCACCGACATCATTGGCAGGCTCCTCTCCTTCGCCGCCAGTGACCATGATGCTGGTCTCCAGGTCCACGGTCGGAATTAGCCGGAGCAGCGCCTCGGCTGCGTCAATGTGGCTGTCGCGTTCTGCCTCGTCTACAATCATCTCGGCCGCGGCACGGAGGAGTATGGACGGGCCGGAGGCATCGTCGTCTTCGTCGTCGAGCATTGCCTCCGTCGCGGCCGGGGCGGCCGGGGCCGGCGCCGCTTGTGGGTCAATAGTGTCCATGTATGTGTCGGGAGGGCGGACGTCCGTTCTCTCTCTTCTCTCTCCTGTTTGTAGAGTTTTACAAGTTCATCGGACGTCCTCTGATGAGCCAAGATTCCTCTGGGCATGAATCCTCCGGCCAAGATTCCTCTGGGCGGAGATTTTGAGATACATCGATCTCAAAATCTCCCTGTCGCCGTCTGTTGTTTTTTTTACCGAACGGACACGAACGAGAGCGTGTGTGCGTTCCACTCTCACCCGCGTACTTTCCAGCGCCGGGTTCGCTAAAAGAATTTTAAAACAAAACCGACCAAAGGGATCTAAAGAATGTACGTAAGAGCCACATACACTGATGAAAGAAAAATCGATTTCACGGAGCTGTGCGCGCCTCATTCGGTGGTGAGAGAGTGCCCGCCTCGTTTCACCATGTATGTGCTGTGCCCGTCCGTGCGGTCGGATCATGGTATGATCCAACCCTGTTCGAACGCTGCCGAACACGGTCGGATCAGGGTCGGACCAGAGTCGGAACAAGGTCGGGAAAAAGGGCCGTACGTGGGGCAGCTCATCTGTTCCGACCCTGATCCAACCCTGTTCCGACCGTGTTCGAACGCTGCCGAACAGGGTCGGATCAGGGTCGGACCAGAGTCGGAACAAGGTCGGGAAAAAGGGCCGTACGTGGGGCAGCTCATCTGTTCCGACCCTGATCCGACCCTGTTCCGACCTTGTTCAAACCTAACAGGGTCGGATCAGGTCGGTGTTCACATAAGGTCGGATCAGGGTCGGATCAGGGTCGGAACAGGTCAGAGTGGAACCCTCCTCACCAACCAACCAGCTCTCCAGGACCCCCCGGTGCAACCAGCCAACTCGCCGAAGAGCTGGGGCCTGCATGCGCATGTGTGTGTGTGTGCCACTCATCGCCTTGCTCCTCTCACTTACAACCGCATCCACTGCCAAGAGGACGGCCTGGGTGGTTGAGTCTCCTGCGTTCGCCGCCGCGGTGCGCTCCTCGCTCTCCACGTCGTGGGAGCTCAAAGATTGCAGCGCCAACGGCGCAGGCTGCGCCGTCTCGCTGCCCGACGCCGAGGTGGTCATCGGCAGGGCGGACGCCCTCGACCTGACCAGGCTGCCGCGGCTCAAGCTCGCGCAGTCGTCCACCTATTTCTACGCCGCGCCCAAGGCGGTGCCGTCCCGCGCCGCCATCGCCACGGCCACCGGCTTCTGGCCGCAGCGCGGCGTCGAGCAGATCGCCGAATGGTGCATCGCCGCCATCTTCCAGGACGTGTACCGCCTCGCCGCCGCCTCGGCCGCCTTTGTCGAATGTGCTTTCGCCGCAGAGGCGCCTTCGTCCTGCGCCGCGGCGTCCGAGGCGACCAACCACACCATGGTGTCTGACCTCACCATCGGCATTTACGGATACGGGCGGATAGGGTCTGAGGTCGCCAGACGCGCTGCGGCGCTCGGCGCGACTGTGATCGGCACCAAGCGTTCCGGCCCCTTCGTCCCTCCGCCCCCACCGCTCAAGTGGCTGTCCCCAGACAACGACCGGCTGCTGCGAGAGGCGGACGTGGTCGTGCTGACGGTGCCGGGGACGGGCCACGCCTCCACCGCGGGACTGGTCAACCGGACGAGTCTGCTGCTGATGCGGCCGCACGCACTGCTCGTGCCGGTGAGCGCGGGCCCGATCAACTTCGGCGACCTCGAGGCCGTCCTCCGCGACGAGCGGCCGAAGCAGCGGGCGGTGATCGACACGTGGCCCGGCGGCTGCTGGCACTACCCGAACGCCTCCTGCGGCCCGCCCCTCGGCCCGCCCGACTTCCCCGGCTCGCCCGTCCTCGCGAGACTGCCAAACGTGCTGCCCCTCCCCTCGCTCTCGATGCGCGACGCGGCCTACTGGCGCTCCGCCGCGGACTCGGTCGCGAGGAACTTGGACGCCCTCGCCAACGGCAAGCCGCTCGAAGGAGTCGTGAGGAATGCGAGCGATGTCGTGTCCGTTATTTGAAAAACTCCAAGACTGATTACGACAGCTATATACAGTGTAAAGTACACACATCTCTCACAATATGTGTGCAGCGATACAAATAAAAACGCTAGCTCACGATTACGTACACGCTGAGCTACAGATCATGATCATCACGCACACGACCACCTGGACCCTGCTCATCCACGCCACTCGCTGCTGCTGCTCCGCGCGCCACCTCGAGCCGCTCGAGCTCGGCCTGCGCCTGCGCGTAGTTGTACTTGAGGTCCTCGACCTCATCGAAGAACTCGGGCGTCAGCGCGGCCAGCTCCTCCGCGAGCGCGTTGCGCTCGGCTCGCAGTGCCTGAGGGGAGGGCCGGCACGGCGGGTGAAACCGCCAAACCAGCGAGCAGAGGAAGAGCCCGGGGGGGGGGGGGGGGGTCTTGCGTGCTCCACACCGACCGCCATCGGCTCGGACCGGCGTGGTCACCGAGGGCCGGCTTGCACAAGGTCTGTGCCGCGGGCGCTCGGCGCCACGTGCAGTGTCACGCTCTTGCTCGCGCGTGACAAACCGGGGAACCCTCGTTTCCTATGTACTCGGTCCCCCAACGGAAGAGGCCTCGCTCCTATTGGAACAATCCAACATCAGATTTGCCTCGTGCGTCCCTTTTTGAGCCGGAAAGCTATTTTCTCTTGAGCACTTGAGCACTGGATAGGGTCGATTCCGCATGGTACGGGACCCCTCGATCGTCTCGCCCTCCCTCGCTGGTGTGCTCATTGGGGGGGGGGTCATAACAAACACGGTACAGGCTCCCCGGCCCTGGATGTGAGGTTAATGACTGCACTCCAAGTGCTCCAAGGATCGAGGTGCACGCTGCCGAAGCAGTGTCGTCCCCCCTCTATTATTCTCAATAAGAATTTAAACAAGCGAACTCTCGCTCACAGCAGACAGGCTCGACACAGGTGCGAACTGGCGCGTGCTAGTACTATCACAGGCACACCACCGGAGCCGCCTAAGCGACTCCGTTAAGAACGGCAATGCACTTAGCATCGTGCACAATGCCGCTGTCCCCGCACGCTAGCTCGTTCACCGTCTGCCACGCCACGGCGGTGTGGAGAACGACAGACAAGCGCTGCATCTGCAGCCCGTGCCAGTTCTTGGTGGTCCATGTGACCTCATCGAGGTGCTGAGCGTGCGAAAGTTTGTTACTCAGCTGGTCCGCCGCCTGCCGAAGAATTTTGCGGACGCCGTCCCCGAAGCCGCCGAACGTCTCGAAGTGCAAACGCAGGTCGCAATTCTTCTCCCGCGCGAACCGGTAGTCGCCCTTCTCGTAGCGGGCCGTCACAGGTGCCCCCAGTGCTCAAGTGCTCAAGGCGGTCGCAGGGTAATTTCCAGGTATACACGGGTTCTCCGCGAAATTCCCGGCATTTTGCCGATTCGGCCTAAAATTTGGCTGATTTTGGGCCCAAACCAGCCTCAGACTCGGCTCAGAGCCAAAAATTTGACGATTTCCACGCAGTTTCCCCGGAAAAATAGAGAGGAAAAGAGAGGGTGCGGTAGAGAAAAAAGGAAAGGAAAACAGACGGGCGGGGTGCGAGAGGCAAACCTGGTTGAGCTCACTGTATGAAAAAAGAAAAGCCGTCGTGTACCCCCCCGAACGAAGGACGCTCCCTCGGCTAGCGTGTATCTGCCTTCCTGCAGCCTTCTTGCTCTCTTGCGCCGCCAATGATCGCTCTTCAGCCCTCGCCGCCGTCGCGTGCGCGTGTCATCTCGTGCTCCGGCGCTTTGCTCTCGCTGACCGCCCTGCTGGTCCTCGCGCGGAGTGCTGCCGCAGGCCGTGCGATGCCGGGTAGTTTTCCACCAGAGGCAGGCCTCGGACCAAAGGCGTCGCGGGTGACAGCACGGATCCGGGAGGAGCTCATGCCACACTTTGGCATGCCGCACTTCCAGCAGCAAGCTCTGCCAGAGCTCAGAGGCCCGCAGCTTCCAGAGCCGCAAATGCCTCAACTGCAAATGCCGCCACTACTGAGCTTCGACGCGTCTCCCAGACAGCAACCGAAGCGGCCGACAAAGTCTACCAAAGCGCAGCCTCCTCCGGCCAACACAGCTGCGACGCCATTGGCCGTCTCTCCCTCGGCCGCTCTCGCCTCCGCCATCGCCGCAGGCGCCATCGCCGTCTCTGCCGACGTCCCCGCCTCCACCATTTCCGCCTCCGCCCTCACCGGCGGCATGGTGAAGGGCACCGTCGAGGCCGACCGTGCCAGCTTGCCCACGGGCCGTGCAATGAAAACAAACGCCTCCGAGTCCAGCGGCCGTGGCACCACCACGCGCGATCCTGGCGGCGGCGGTGCTCCCCTGCCAGAGCTCCGCCCGCCAGAGCTGCCCAACGTAGAGCTTCCAGATGTAGACACTGGCCTGCCCGAGCTTCACGCGCCGCGGATCCAACTGCCGCCGGTCAGCTTGCCGGAGCCGCCCCAGCTCCAGGCGCCGACGGTCCAGTGGCCGTACCTCTACGAGCTGTACCCCTCCACAAGCTCGCCTCCCGCCTTCGAGCTGACGAGCGGGCCGCTGGCGCTCGACCTGAGGCACTCGCCAAAGCTGACGCGGCTTCCGCCCGCCAAGACCTCCTCCTCGCCGCCTCCGGCACCCCACTGGGTCGCAATCTCGAGACTGAGCCCATCCTCACCGCCCCCTCCCCAACCGCCAGAGGCGTACCCATGGCTCCCTTGCCGCCTGCCCGGCGTGGTGTGCTCCGGCGGCACCGACGCCACGGGTCGGTACCCCGTGAATGTCGAGGTGTCCCAATGTTTCTGATTCGTTTGTGCGACGTGTGTTCTGATTCTGCGAGCTATGCATAGAGCTGGGTCAGTGAGTTGCTGTTGTGTACGTGACGCGTGCTTTCCAGTGCACCTTGCTACTAAGCGTTTCTTTGTTTACACTGTGAAGCCACAGTATGTCGAGTCTCTCAGCTGTTTACCGTGTGAACTGTCGTTACTTTCCCGTGTGCGTTCCGCTTTATTCCTCTCCTCTCCTCGACTGTCTATCTCTCTCTGTAGTGCTCTTTTTTTTAGGGGTTGAGAGAGTTTACCTTAGGGGACCCCTAGGGTTCTGTGGGCCGGATTTTTCGTAAAGAGCTTTTAAGAAAGAGGTTTTTGGGGGCTTAAATTGCCATTTAAGAGATTGCAGGCACGCCGCGGGGGGTCTCCCTCTTTTAAGACCGTTTAAGAAAATCGGCCTCACCGGCATGCGTCGCTGGTTCCGCGCCGTTTTCTCCAATACTGCCGTTATTAGGCACAAACCCGCCTCTGAAGACACATCTGTAAGTCTGGTGCACTGGTAGGAGCCATACTCGCATAGGGGACACGTGCTAGCTGACTGTAGCCAGCTTCCCGGCCTCCGGCGTCTACTTGAGCACTTGAGCACTGGATAGGGTCGATTCCGCATGGTACGGGACCCCTCGATCGTCTCGCCCTCCCTCACTGGTGTGTTCATCGGGGGGGGTCATAACAAACACGGTACAGGATCGAGGTGCACGCTGCCGAAGCAGTGTCGTCCCCCCTCTCCCCGACGGCGATGGCGGTGTGACCGATCGAGCTACAAGAGGAGCTTGTTCAGCAGGATCCGAGTTAGACCAGTGCACTGCCTCACTGGGCCTGAGATCACCAGAACGCTTCTCGTCACCGTCTCGGATTTGTGTGGCGGGAGCCTCCCGGACCATCGACCTCGGGAGCTTCGAAGAGCTCAGCGTAACGCTGAGCGCGCGCACGGTGTCTACGTCAATCGCTCCACGAGGCGAAGTCGTCCGCGCCACGTTGCCGCTCACCGTGAACCCAGACTTTTTTTGACGACAGCCGTCTCCCCCCACCGCGCTTTGTTTGCTTGGTGCCCAAACACGAGTTGCACGAGATCACAGTCATCTATCTCTATTCGCGGGCTGGCTGT